TTTTTTTATGATAAATTAATATAAAAATAAATATATAATAATTACTTAATATTATTAAAGATAAAAAATAAAGTTGAACCTGATTAAATAAGTATTAATTAAAAATTGTGACAAAAAATTAAAAAATTTAAAAGAATAAATTTATCAATAAAATTAAAAAATTTCAATTCACTAGTAATTTAGTGCAAAAAGCTATTTTAGGTAAGTTTTTCAATTTCCTAGTTATTAACAACTATTCGTTAGTTTCAAACTAGTAAATAAAAATTTTATTGAATACTTAGTTCGTAGCATTTTCAAAATAAATAAATTTGCTAAATACTTATTCTTAACGATTTAAGTAAAATTATTAATCGGTACCTCTAAACCACTATACTAAATCAGCTCTCAAACCAGCTCTCAATCATGTACCATCTCTAGAGGCGTCAGGTCACGTGTAAGTGAATTCTCTTATTCCAGACAACAGTTCGAATCCGACCTCTTACGAATTTGTTTAAAAAAAAAAAAAGGTAAAAGGATAATCATGACGTTTTTGGCAAAGTCTGGAAATTTGTAGTGACATTAAGCCATATTACTCTACTCGATAAATTTAATGAAATCAATTTGAAATGGATCCTAATTTTAAACAATTTTGGAAATGAAATTAATAAAAAAATAAATTTATATTTATCATGACATTAATGATTTAGATGATTAATAAAAAAATATATTATGTATTTTAATAAATTTAATAAAAAAACCAACGACCTGTTGGTCCAAATGTAAGGTATTTGGTTCTTTTTAAATAAGATTTTGAATTTGAGTTTGAGTCTTATAAATAAAAAAATAGGTATTTAGAGAATTTTGTCATCTGACTCGATTAGTTAAGGTTTAATGTAGTTTTTGGATACTGAGTGGTTAGTATAAAAAAAATATAAATTTAATAAAAAAATTAATTTAAAATCAATCAATTTTAGAAATAAAGTGTCTAAAATTATTAACAAATTTCATCAATAAATGAAATAAAATTTAATTAATTTTATTTTAAAAATTAATTAAGGTAAAAATAATTTTATAATTAATAAAATAAATTTAATAATATTTATTAAATTATCTTGTTGAGTCAGGCCCGTGGCCTAAGCGAGACGATCACCGGGTTGGGTTGGGTTGGGTTGGGTTTTAAAACACTGCTCTTGCCGATACATCCCGAACAGAGGAACGGAAGTGAGCACAGAAAGTAATGTTTCTGAACTAGGACCTAGAAACTAGAAACAGTGTCTTCTCGTTGGTATCCATGGCATCTTAGTATTACGGAAAACAATGGCTTTGAAGAAATTAGTCAACTTCTCTCCCTTATTTGCAATCACAGTCTTCGTAGCTCTCGTTGCTCTCCTCCTCAAATTTTACCCTAAATTCAACTCTCAACAGGTGTGCACTTCCTTCCCTTTTCCTTTCATCTGGTGAAAAATAGGGTAAAATTAGCACATCTCTTAGGTGTTGGATTGGATGGAACTCCTTTTTCTTTCAATTTCTCGGGAACCAAACAGTGAATTGTATTTTTGGCTGCGTTTGCAGAAACTGTTTACTGCTGAACAACTGGCTTTGCACAATGGAACTAATGATTCATTACCAATTCTCTTAGGAATTCTTGGGTATTTCTTCCGCCCCCATATTTGAGTGTGTTTGTAAATGTCCATAAATTTTGCATACAACAGTTCATGGGGGGTGGTATGCTAAGACATGTTTTATTTGTGATCAGATCAGTGTTTGATGTAACTAAAGGAAAATCCCACTATGGCCCTGGAGGTGGCTACAATCATTTCGCTGGAAGGTTTGATCTTTTTTCGCACCTTAACCTCAACTTTCTCATATGAATTTCACTGCTTAGCACTTTATATCATTGATTGAATGGTATGCCGAAATCATTAATTTAGTAATGTTGCCTTACTTCATTGTATTGTGAGCTTCAAATGTTTTCTATTTTCTCGGGGAGTCGTACTTGTTTATATTCTTGCCTGTGTTAATTCTCAACACATTCTCAAGAAAAAGAAAATGAGATAATTATCTCTTTGGAAGATGTCCCTTTTCAGGGCTACCCTCAAGAAATTAGTCATTAAGGCTTAAAAAAGACATTCTACTTTATGAAACTTTCCATTTAGGATGAAAAAGATGTGACTGAAGTGTGCAAAAGAAGCTAGGTACAAGGCACTTTAAGAACAAAGGTGCCTCACAGAGGACAACTTTGTTAAATATGCATTTATAGTTTCTTCATTTAAGAAGATGAACTTCTGAGAATATGGCAAGTGTTTAGCAATGCTTCAATAGCCTATGCAGCCAATTTCTTGACAAAAAATGACAGTTCATTTTTATAGTTGGGTAAATTGTGCATTCTCTTTGAAATGTTGCCTTTGTTTTCAATTGATTGCATCTCAAAGTCAGTTACTAACTTATTAAATAAAATATCTATACTGTTGTTCTAAATTATTGATTATGCTTTGTGATTTTATATGGAGGGGCTGTCTTTGTTAAGTTACATAGTGTTTTTTGCTTCAATAGATGTGATGGCTTAAGATTTCTAAGTCTTGAGAGGAGTACTTGCTCTGAGCATGAGCGACTGATCTATCTGCAGATACCATTAGTATGTTTCTTCTCTATTATCTAACTAGCTAACTGGTAGCTCTTCTGTTTTTTTTTCCTGATAAATACAGAGATGCCTCCCGTGCGTTTGTTTCTGGAAACTTTACAGGTACTTCTTGTTATTGTTTTTCTTACTGTTAATGAAATTCAATAAAGATAAAAGTTTGATAAAAAGCCATATAAAGTTGCTGGTAGGATCAAAAGAATGGTATGAGCAAATAATATGTTCTGTTCTTTCTTGTTCCTAATAAGTACAGAGTTTCCCATGTTCCAAATTAGTTTTGATTGCTAAAATGCAGAAACAAGAATTTTGGTTTCTTTATGCAACATGGGAAGTATGAAAAGCTTATTATGATTTTTAATCAAACTGAATGCATCACTGTGAGTTGTTAATCACTAAGTATACATAGAATAAGCCTATGTACTTTTCTTTCTTACTTAACAATAGAAGCCCATATTAACTAGTTTGAAAGAAGTTAGCTTTTTAGTGAATTATGCTCACTCACTTGGTGGGCTTCACACTTTCAATTACCAGCCATAATGTGTTAAAAAAATGAGGAAAAGATAAAAGTTGCAAAAGTAGATGTAATGGTAAACAAGCTAAGTTTAATATTGAATAAAGTATCTAGCAGCTCTGTTATTAGGTTCTAGTCATGGTAGTGGTAAATGGGTGATTGGAACTCTTCTCAATATGGATTTGTCAATAGCTAATAAAAAAGTGGATTTGCCAATAACCAAATGGACAATGTAAGCACCAATATCAATACCCACATAATTCCTACTAATAGTTTTTCTTTGATGAATTTCGTGATATCCTTTCTGCTCTTGCAAAATTATCAACTCATGCAACAAACACACTTGTTGAATTTGTCTTTAACAAATAAGAGCTTAGCTAACTTGGTGCTGGCTAACTTCAAAACTTTGTTCCAGTGTTCTAAGTTCTGCATAGCTAAGCTAATTGAGCTAATGTATTTTATAATTTGAAAAAGCAAGGTTCTTTTTATTAATTTAATAATTCAAGGTACAAAATAAGAGTCAATGGAAGCAGCGTTTTTCTTGAATCCTAATTACTTTTTGGAAATTGTTATTTCCCAACCTTATTTCCTTTCCTCAAGGAAATCATCCAAGTCATCAGGTGGGCACATTAGAAATGAAGGTTTGACAAGAATTCATGTCATCATTTAATCTTTATTCTAGAGGTTTTCTAATCATTATTACTTAAATATTTTTCTTTATCTTTTTTTAATTTGCCTTTTTTTTTTTTGGATACCTAAAGACTAGGGATTGAACTCTAGACCTATGGCTAAGAGCACAGGTAACTCTACCCCCAGACCACATGACTGATGGTGTTATTTGCCTTTTTTTGTTGTTTGTTCCTTGTCCATAAATACCTTCTTCCTTCTTTCTCCCTCTCTCTTTTTTGTTTGTTTAATTTTTTATAACATTCTTTTCTTCTAAATTTTGTCACCTCGATGTGGTCAGATCTACTAGAAGGTTCCTGACTTGTGGCATGTAATTAAATCCTTTTGTTTGAGCTCTAATTACCATGATAAACACAGAACAATGAGGATATGGGGAACTGTACATATTATATGAGGCTAGATCAACTAGAAAGTTCTTGACCTGTAGAATGTAAATATCTTCTTTGGTTTGAGCTCTAATTACCATGATAAACACAGAACAATGAGGATATATGAGACTAAGCTGGACATTTAACTTCATCTGACTAAGATGACATGCAACATTTTCCGTACAACTGTATGAGCCCAATAATTTATGTTAATGAAAAAATGTCTCAGTAAATTAAGGAAATATTGCATCTCTAGGAGCTTCTGTAGCTGTGCTGCTTCCTTAATTCTTCTTCTTCTTCTTCTTCTTTTTGAATATTTGATGCAGGAGATGGACTCACAGATTCATTGCATGGTTTATCTAGCACTGAGGTAATCAATGTTGCATGTTCTTTATCAAGAGTGTTATTGTTACATATATGTGCCCTGTAACATCAGACTCTAGCCAACTTTGATTTCTAAAAGCAATATTTAATAATTTGTTCATTCTTTTATTTATTTTTTTCATAACATGTGTCACTAAAATGGTTAATACATACTTAGACTGAATTTTGAAACTGAAGTATTGCTGATCGAAAAAAAGAAAAGTTTTCCCAATCTGTACGCTAGGCTATTATGTTGATATCTGAGAGCAATTCTTTTTATCTTGGACCTGAATAGGTTGCTGCTGCCCTTTCTTTATTTGGAAACTTAATTTTTGGCTGTAGGCTTCATGCCATATTTCATTATGATTAAAGTTTGCTTCTCTAATTTAATGTTTGTAGGTCAAGGGTGTTGTTGAATGGCGAGAATTCTACATTAGAACCTATACGTAAGTTTGTTGTTCTTGTTCCTGGTTTTTCTTCTTCTTTTTAGAAAAGACAAGCTTTTTCATTGAAGAACAAAACTCTCCTTGAATGGGGTATTTATATATCCCTTCTAGCCTTCTAGGCATCCCCAAGTCCACTTAACAACATGAATTAATAAGGCCATAAGATATAGCTAAATGAGCATTAATAACATTAATCAGGGAAGACCAAACATTAAATTTAGCCTTTAATGCTATACTTATTTACACACACATTCCCCTTCGTGCAACTTTGATACCATTGTCTGAGACCACTTCTCCCTTCCTCCTTTATTACTTTTGCACTCTGGTGTTAGCTATTGAGAAGTACAACGACACCATGCGTACTACAAATAAAAGGAGAAAATTCTCTGGTATGTACTTATTCTTGATGTCCACATCTTTGATTGCAGTTATGTTGGCAAACTTGTTGGTCGCTACTATGATAGCCAAGGAAATGCAACTAAATATTTGAAAGGAGTTGAAGCAAAGGCTGCTAGAGGAGCACAGCTTTTGGAGAAACAGAAGAAAGAAGAAGCTAAACAACCCAGTTGCAATTCAAGATGGAGTCAGGATGAGGGTGGAGAGGTATATGCTTCATGACTTAAAATAGTATTCCAAAAACAAGCTAATAAATTCACATATTTGCAGTTTCTGCAAACTAAGTTAAACCCATCCTCTTTCCATCCCAAATGAGAAAGAAATGATACTCATTTTAAACTTTATAGGTTACATTTTATGAAAGACAAAATGTACTCCAACCCCAACAAGAAAGTTCTTATCTCCATGAACCAATTCGCCACTCTATAAAATCCCTCAAGTGAGAAAATTCTATTTGTTTGTCAAAAAACCATCTCTGTTGGAAATAAATTCCCATATATATGGCTCAAATGACCTGCTGATGATCCTTAGAAACTAAAATAGAAAAAACATACAATCCTGGTTTTCTTAAAGTGGGGATTAAGATTAGAGATCTGTAGGTTTAACCAGGTTTCCTTTCTGTTTGTTTTATTTCCCTTCATTGCTAACACAATTTCATGCCCAACCCTAAAAAATAAATTAATAAAATAAGAAATTAAATAAGAAAGGGAAAAGAAAAGAAAAGACGATTAAGACTGGTTTTTGGTGTTTGGTTTTTGATTTTGGTTTTTATAAATTTTGCAACTCTAAACAAAATACGCTTTTACTCATGTATTTTTGCAAGATATTATCATGATTATTAGAGAAATAAGGACAAAAATAGTTTTAATACTAGTAATCAAGTTTGTATTTTTTGTTGTCAGTGCTAGAATTCATCGTAAACAAATTTTTAGTTTTTGATTTTTAATTTTGGTTTTTAATAGTTGTATAATTTATGAAAACCAAACTACAAAAACCACAACCGTACTAAATAAAGCCTAAGTTGTTAGCAGATTTCAAACTCATCTAAGAGCATAACATTGGTTTGAGGACAATCTACCATTAGGCATTTGCCAACTTGGTCACAACCTATGGCAGGAAAGAGAGGTGTGCAAAATGAGGAGCCAGATAGGGAAGTAGAAATCTTAGCAACCCAATAGAGGGCATCTTTATAACCAGTATGGGTGATATTCGATGACTGACCTCGATGGTTAATGGAAGATTTTGTTGTTCATAGACCATACGATTCTCCAGCTACTTAACTCTAAATTTTATGCATTGGTATTGGGCGCATAAAGTTCAGGGGAATATGGATGCAATGATGAAACATGATAGATGACTCTATAAATCAGCTGCAACATAAAGTCATCATTATTGTTCACTCCGCTTGTATCTCACATACACTGTTGTGGTCAGGTTTGGTGCGATGTCGGCTTCCCAAGGTTAGTTCAGAGGCCTTTGGAAATTGCTTTGACTGGAAAAATGAGCAAACGATGTGCTTGCTTTACTGAAGATCAACTTGGACAAGGAGGGCTTGAAACCTATGAAGGATGTGATTTTCTTTCCAGCAGATGCCGAGTTTAGATCATTTTCATTAGTAATATCATATAAGTTGCTATCTATAAGACGTAACTGTTAAGTTGGTTGTAGTTTTATATAAATAAATAAATGTAGAGGTCTTTGAATCTTTTATTTTTTTGATTAACTACGGACACAGTGTTTTTGTGAAATTATTTGTTTTCACCTTATATGAGATACAAAAATTGATTGATCATGAAACATAGTGATGGTGCAAAAAACAAGGAGAAATTTTATTTCCATTTTACTTTCTAAAAAGTAGTTATTCTCTTGAATTTATTCGGAAATGAAAATTTTTAACATGTGTTTATCAAATGAGAATAAATTTCATTTTAAAACAAAATGAGTGAAAATTTATTTAGTCTCTTAATTCTTATAAAGTTAAAAAATTACTATTAACTCTAAATTTAAATAAACAAATGGTAATAATAATAATAAGATAATAGTGTTTATCTGTCTTTTTTTAAAAAAAATTTTAAAATTACATCATTTTAATAAATTTTTATTAAAAAAATTAAAATATTTTATTGAAATAAATTAAAATATTTTATTTTTAAAATATGAA